TTTTAACTTGCTGCGGTGGGCCTTAGATGTGCCATGTGAGATCTTTCATTGCGGTGCTCAGACTCTCTAGTGGCACGTGGCGTGTGTGTTCAGTTGCACTGCTGCATGGAGGGTCTTAGATCCCTGACCAGTTCCCTGCGCTGCAAGACGGATTCCTCACCACGGGGCCACCAGGAAAGCCTCTCTCTTCTTATTTTAATGTAAAAAATTCTAGAACTAGGTGTATTTGAAAGAATAAATGCTGGCTTTCAAAAAAAACGTGCAGCTATTGCCAAGAGGTCGAGCCAACCTCAGCTGATGGGAGAGTTCGTTTCCCACACCCTCTGCCACCTAAGAGCTTTCTTACGATGAAGACTTTCATTTCTCAAATGGATTATTCTTCTTTAGTGACTCCACCTTTGATCATCAAACCTCCTGAATAAATAATAGGATGGATCATTTTATTTCTAACAGCACTAGGGAATCAAAACTCACAAATGGAGAATTACTTTCTAGACAGTGAACAGAAACAAATGCAAAAATTTTTTCAATGGACATCTTAAGTTTTTCAAACTGTCAACTTCAAACAAGTGTCCCTCAATACAAAACAAGAGAAAACTAGGAGCCCCAAGCGCCCTCCCTGCCTCTCTCCCCTCCTCTCCCCCCACACCTCAGCCCAATCCAGGGGACCCAGATTTAACAAATGAGAATACAGGACACTGAGTTAAATCTGACGTTCAGACAAACAACATACAAAATTTTTAGTACAAGTATGTCCCATGCAATATTTGGGACATACATATACCAAAAAACAAACCAACCAAAGCCTACCAATGTGTTGTTTCATCTGGAAGTCAGATTTAACTGGGCGTCCTAGGGTTTATCTGGCAAGCAGACCATCGCCCCCACCCAGTGTCTAAAGATCAAGTGATTTTTAAACAGGAGCCAAGACCCTCTTTGTCCTCCCAGTCTTTGGTCAACCTGCTACCCCAAGCTCGAGGTCTGAAGGCATGCACCCCACCCTCACAGAAATGCTCCCCACCCAGAGACGCCCCACCAGCTTCCCTGGGATTAGAGTCTCTGTCCCCTCAGAGCATCTGGGGTCACATTCCAGCTGGTCTTCTCCCTCCATCCCGTCTCCCACCTGCCCACCCATCCTTTCTGTTGACTGGCAGTCCCTTCGGGATGGTGCCTGCTTCAGAGCCGCCTTCCCAAGGGCACGTCCTGGGCCATACCCAGTGTCAGAGGGATGCAGAGGTCCTCAGGCCCAGCTATTCCACTGCACCTCTGATGGGCCCCTCCAGCTCCAGAGCACCTGAGCAGCGGTGGGGGCGGGGGGGGGGGTGCTCTCTGCTGGGCCTGCATCAGAGCTCCACTTTTTTTTTTTAAGCTTGCTGCTTTTCAGAGCTCCACTTTTAAGTCTATTTTTCATTCATTTATTGTGGCTGTGCCACACAGCATGCAGTATCCATCTTAGTTCCCGGACCAGGGATCGAACCCGTGCCCCCTGCAGTGGATGCAGGGAGTCCCAACCACTGGACCACTGGGGAATTCCCAGGGTTCCGCTTCTCCCTCCACTCGCCCTGCTCCCCTCCCCGGCTGTGCACAGGCCGGATCGTTCCTCCAGCCCCATCAGACCCGTCCCCACCTCCCCGCCCCGGTCCACAGGCCCCTGACCGGAAACCAGCCACTAAGTGTCCACAGTGGGTCGGTCTGGGACTGGCTAATATATATTTTTTTTAATTTGGGCTTTCCAATACATTGTAGATTTTTCCACACAGGTACATATTACTTCAGCAATACAATAATAAAAATAATAATAGAAGTTTTTTTTTTCTTTAAGAAAAATGTAAAACCAACCCAGCAGCCCTCTTCCTCTCTGACCTGCCCACTCCTCCCCACTCCCTCCCACCTGCTTCCCCAGGGAGGACTCCCCCCGAATCAGCGAACTCCCACCCCAATTGCCTCCCCAGTCCTGCCAGACCCCCAGGTGGTTTCACTTCTCCACCAAAGGCTTTCTACCACCAGCTCGTCCTTGCTGGGGGGACTATATGCAAATTCTGGAGGGGTTCTTAGTGCTGGTTGGGAGGAGGAGGCTAAATCCTGAGACTGGAGAGAAAGTGTAAGAGGGGAACCAGCATTTGCTAACTCCGCTGGGGTCCTCTGCGCTGGGGGCCAAGGGAACAGGACGCAGACCCTGCCTCCGAGGGCTCCACAGCTGGTGGGGTGGGGGCAATGGAAAGTCAGAACACTGTGTGAGGTGAAGCGGGCCAGGTGTGGGGAGGAGGAATTTGTGGAAGCTTCTGGAAGAAGGAAAAGTCTCAGCAGACCCCTGAGGGTGAGAAGGAGCGGGTAAGGAGGCGGGAGGGGAGCCCGGCTGGAGGCAGGGGATCAGTCTTTGCAAAGGCCTGCAGGTGAGAGGAGGGTGGTTTATTTGAGGAACTGAAAGCAGTTCAGAGCAGCTGGAGGGCAGAGGAGGCGGTGAGGAGGGAGAGGAAGCCCAGGTTCGGGGAGGGCAGCGGGGCCACGTGAGGGAGACTGCGCTCTGCCTCACAGAAACGGGGAGCCGCCGAAGGGCGCAGAGCAGGGGAGGGACAGCCTCGGGTGGGCATCCTATAAAGATCTCCGCCTTCCACACAGCAGGAGCTCCAGGAGTTTTCATCCTGAGCCTCTGAAACCACCACAGTCCCACCTAATCGAGCACACACTATCTGCCACGTGGGGACTTTGGCCATGGAGTACCTAAAACCTGTGTCTCCATGGAGGCGGGCCCCCAGGCCCGAGGCCCCCAGCCCTCCTGCTCTACCTTTAAGGAATACGCTACCTTAGGGAATAACGGACTCTGGAGCCTTGGTTCAAATCCGAGCTCCTCCGGTTTCAAACCGTGTAACCTTGGACAGATGACCTCTTGGTGCCTCAGTCTCCTCATGTGTAAAATGGGGATAATAATGGTACCCAACTGGGCTGAAGTGAAGATTGAGTGACTCAATACTGAAAAAGTGGCTGCCTCCTGGCGGATGCTGTGCACTGTTGATTTCTACTGTTTTTCCTGCATCCCTCCCCTGGGCCAACCACTTGCAGGCACTAACCAAACCATCCTCCATATCCTCCCCCAGCCCTGAAGCATCACACCCTTCCTTTCTCCTTCGCTGGGGGTGGGACAGAGCCAGACAGAATTTAGGACAGCCCACTGACCTGGGCCTGGGGCCTCGCCCCAGCTCCCTCGAGTGCAGTGGACAGAACACTGGACCTGCAGCCAGGAACTGTGTCCCGAGCTGGGCTCTGCCACTGACCCTCAGACTCTTCCTCTGTGAGATGAGGACAAGGACACCTTACTGCTGTCTTATCAGCAGGGCTGTCAAAGGAGTAATGAGGGCTGGAGATGCCCTGAGAATGTCTATGTCACAGGCACGGCCTTGTGGCTGGGCCAGAACTCTTGCTGGCATCCTCCTCTGCGGGCCTACACTGGCTCCTCCACATAAGATCTGTTCAGAGCTCACTGTGAGGACCCCAGAGGCTGAGGATGGCCTGCCTCGGGCCTTTCCAGATGCCCTGATGCTGACCGGGACCCTCCTAAGGGCTGGGGCAGAGACAGAGAGCCTGGTGTGGGCTCAGCACCCCGGGAGGCAAGTGCCAACCCAAAGGCCTGAGGCAAGTCAGACCTTCAGTAGGGCCTTCCAGCAAGCCTGGACCAGCCAGGGACTCAAGCCTGGGGTCCAAAAGACCCCCTAGAGCCATTAGGACCCCAGTGTCTATCTCTAAATGCCATAGCTGCTCATCACCTCTAGACCAAGGAAGGGCCGGAATGGGAGAGTCTGTTTTCAGTAGCTCTTTGGTGCTGGGGGATGGGAGGAGCCCAAGATGGGTCTCACCCCCCTCCTTCAGGGTGCCAGCTATTTCTCAGAGTTCAAGTGGATTCATTCACTCATTCCACAAACATGTACTTGGTGCCAGACCCGGGTCAGGTGCAGGGGCGATGACAGATGAATCACACAGACTCCTGTGCTAACGCACTTCCGGTCTATGGGCCACCAGCAAGGCATTAACAACCAAGGCACAAGGAGGCTAGGCTGGAGAAGGCAGGACAGGCAGCATGGATCTCACCTGGGGTAGCAGGAAGCTAACCAGAGGGAGGCTTGTCAGTGGCTTATGAACCTGTGATGGGAAGGCCGGGTGGGTGAGGGATAGAACCTTCAAGACCATTGACAGTTTCCTTTGCACTCCCGCCAGGCCAGAGCCAGGACAACGTGAGTTATTTATGGTTGTGCCCAGAGAAAAGCGGCCACATGTGTCACTGCACGTGGGGTGCAGAGCTGGGCGGTAGAGGGTGGGGGGCGGCTGGGGCTTGAAGCTGGGTCGGGGCAAGCTCTCTGGTTTGCCACTGTGTCCCTCACACCCTGATGACCTTTTAAGCTTTTCAAGGCCTCCCATAAGAGAAAACTAAGGAGGAGAGAGAATTCCAACGGGCAGCAAGTGGCCTGGGGGGTGGGGAAGGGAGCAGGGCCAGACAGACCTTGGCCTCTGCGGTCTGTGAGGGCCATTTATCCTCACCTTCTCCCCCTCTCCCCCCTCCCATCTCAGCAGTGGGGAAAGAGGGCAGACAAGAGAGAAGAAAATATTTTTCACTGTAAACCAGACAGGACCTAGGGTGGGCATCAGCGGCTGGATTTCTCCCCAGCCCACTCTGGTCCACAAACAGCCTACGCACCAAGCCGGCATCAGCCTACCCACCCTGTTGGGACCGGAACAAGCCAGGCCAGAGCCTCGGATGGGACCCGGGGCCTGGGTCCCACCTTCCCAAGGCACTTATTTCCTGCGTTTCCTCCCCAACCCCCCATCCCTGGGGTGAAGGCCTCTCCGCCGGGTCCGTCTCCCAGGGGGCCCAGCTCAGGGACATCCTGACACTGCCCCGGTGATGCTCAAGAACCCCGGCGCTTGCAAAGCACCCGCAGTCGCGCGCCCACCTCTCTGCAGGTAGCTCTCCGATCCTCCCCCCTGTCCGCCTCTGCGCCCGCCGCCAGCACGTACCCCTAGACTGGAGCGCTCCCTCCCTACCCCCGTATCCAAGGGCCAGACCCCCTACCTGGGGGCAGGCGCGCCCGGCACCATCGGCGGCGCCGCGGGGCCAAGCGGGCGTCTGGGGGACCCGGCCTCAAGCCTGGTCGACTTCCCGGGGGGCAAGAGAGGCTGCGCCACCGCGTCCCTCCGGACCTCGCCCGGGGCTGCGGGAAGGAGGAAGGTCAGAGCCGAGGAGGAGGGGAGGCGGCGGGCGGAGGCGCGCAGATGGGCGCAGATTAGCGAGGCATTTTTAGCGAGCCAATGGCTGCGCGGCGCCGGGCGGAGCGCTGGCTGCGCAGGTGGAGACGCCGCGCTGCTGAGGCGGCAGCTGCCGGCTTAGGAGGTGCGGGGGGGCAGGCAGCACCCCCAGCGCCCTGTTTCTCCTCCTAGGGGGTGCTCCGTGGCGCCCGGCCTAGGGGCTCTGTATGCGGCGGGCGGGCGCCGAGAGCGTCTCCCGTGCGCCCTCCACCCCGGCCCCCCGCGGAAGCCCCTTGAACCCCGGGGTGTCGCTCCCCTCCCCCTCTCCGCCCTTTTCTCACTTTTTTAGGACGTTCCTCCCGCCGCGTTTGTTTCTGGCCTCGCGGAATCCTGCGTCTTCTGGCACACGCGGGGGCGTGTGCGGTGGGCAGGTCTGGAGTCTGTATGTTGGGGGGGGTGGTCCTCTGGAGTGAGGAACCCTCCTCCCCCAGCACCGCACCCATAACCCCCGCACCCCACACCAGCTTCTCCCAGAAATGCCCAAACTGGCCCCATGGGGAAGTCACCCAGGCCACCTCTGAGCGACTCGTTGGGACCCCCGATGCACTCTTCCTGTCTTAAACCCTGCACGCTTCCGGAAACCTAGACGCTGCGAGGGGCGCTGGGGCAGCTCTCTTCACTGCAGACTTGTAAGCAGCCGTCTTGGAGTTATAAGGAGGGTTTATTCAACAGCTATCTACTGAGAACCTGCTTCATGCAGGGCAGTGAGGAGCGGCTGGGCTGCAGCAGAGTACAAAACAGACCAAACTGGGGTGGGGATAAACTGGGAGACTGGGATTGACGTATCACACTACTATACATAAAATAGAGAGCTAATAAACACCCCCTGCATAGCCCAGGGAAGTCTACTCAGTACTCTCTGATGCCCTGTCTGGGAATAGAGTATGTGTGTATATGTAATGGGGATATGTATTTGTACAGCTGATTCACTTTGCTGTACATCAGAAACTAACACCACTGTAAATCAGCTATACTCCAATAAAAATTAATTTAAAATAATTTATTGCTAAAAAAAAAAGCTAACCATAAAAACACACACACACACAAATAGACAAAATCTCTGCCCTAAGTTACTCATGTTGTGAGGGACAACAGATGTTAAACATAATAAATAGTATATAAAGAGTATATAAAGTATGCTTTAGGGACTTCTTTGGTCATCCAGTGGTTAAGAATCTGACTTCCAATGCAGTGGATGGGGGTTCAATCCCTGGTTGGGGAACTAAGATCCACTTGCCAAGGGGCAACTCAGTCTGCATGCTGCAACTGGAGAAGCCAGTGCCACAACTAAGACTCAATGCAGCCAAATAAATAAATATTTAAGATAAAATAAAATAAATTCCTTTAAAAATAAAGTGATATGCACAAAGTAGAAAAATAAAGCTTGAGAAAGGGAAAGAAAGTGAGGGAGGTCAGGGTGAGAATAGGCCCCAGCCATTTGTGGGGAGTGGGCATGACTGAATTTGATGGTAAGCCCCTCAAGTAAGCATGCAGACTCTAGTTTGCATGTTGGTATTTCCTGCCCTCCCTCACCTTTCCCCCTCACCAGAGGCACTGAAATCCATGACCCCAGTGACCCAGGGGAACGCCCAAGTGCAGGGCCTGTTCCTTCAGAAAGAATTCTCTGACCAGTTATCACACATAAGGTGTTAGAGCCTAAAGGAAGTCAACACCTGGTTGGAAGTCCAGTTGACAGTACCTACCCCAAGGATGAGCAGGACAGCCAGGTGAGTGGACAATGTTCCAGAGAAGGTCAGATGGCTCTGGGTTAAAGGAATCCGGGAAGCTTCCTGGAGGAGGCAGCATTCCAAGGAGGTACTGAAATTCTGAACAACAACTGGAACAATCAGATGGGGCAGGAGCCAAGGAAGGATTACTAGGAGAGGCTCACAAAACCAGAGGACTTTTGGCAGGTGTCTGGAGCTGGGGTCCTGAAACATTCCTGGACACCCTCCATGCCAGGGCTATGAGCTGACAAAGTACCCCTCCCATCTCCACCCTAGCAGTTCCTGGTCCCCAGCTGCCCTCACCTCAACCGGGAATTTTCTCTTGCTCCAGGAGGAGGCATGATGAGCATATAAGGGAACAACATACACTTTCCTCAATCGCTTGTTTGCTGGGTAAAGATGGGCATGTCACTTAACCTGTGTTTCAGCCTCCTCATCTTAATAGCTGTGTGACAAGTTACTTAACTGGTTGATGGCTTGGTTCCTTCATTTGGAAAATGCAACAATGACAGCTTTTACGTCAAGGGTTGTGTATTACACAAGACAATCCAGGTGAACTGCTTAGCGTGTTGTACTTAGTTAATTTTATTTTCTTTATTATAATTACACTTGTCTCACTGGTCGAATTGGAATTCAATATTGGAATTGGATATTCAATATCCATTTGGAATTGGAATTCGATAAAGAATGTGAAGCACCTCGCATAAGCGCCTAGAACCAAACAGTTGTGTAATAATTGGTGTCTATTATATTGTCTCTAACTACACGCACCCTCAAATCTCTCCCTTTTGGTCTCCTCCAGTGCTATGAAATTCCGGTTAGACAGAACTTTCGTAATGTGAGAGACTAATTCCCCAAGAGGGTCTTAAAGTGCAACCAGGATGGAAAGATTAGAACATCTGCCCCCTCCCCTACTGTACACATGTCATCAGGGGATCTGGTGTAGATGGAGCCCAGAGGGGTAAGTTTTGGAAAGGCAGTGAAGTCTGGAGCATGGAACACTCAATGTTCCTTGGCAGCTGGGCATTTGGTGGAGGGTGGCAAGAGTGGAAGGGGCACTGGCATTCAGGAGACGTGTGCTCAGAGACGCTGGAGGATCACGGAAGCTGAACCAGCTTGGAGCAGTCATGGGGAGGGTCATGAAGGGGGAGACCTGATCAGGCAGATTATGGGGGGTGGGGAGATACCCGGGAGGGGAGATGACAGAGCAGATGAGCTGGGCTTACTCCATTTGAAGTTAAAGTATGCATTAAATGAAGATCTTAGCAGCCCCAAGCCCTGAAAAAAATGAGTGGAAAACACACACACACATATACACACACATGCACGAATGCACACACACTACATCCCTTGCTCACGTGTAATCAAAAATAAAATGTTATTTTGGAAACTGACACAGAACTTCCATGCTTCCTAAAATTAAACTAGGTTCCTTCTAGATCTTCTGATTGCAAAACTTAGGTTCATCAAAGTTAAACTAACCCCCTCCCCATCTTCCTCTCTTATTGTTTTGTGCCCCATCCAGAGACTAAGACGTTCGCCCATTTTCATAGTTCTTTTCAGTTTTATTTTTCTTTTTTTGTTTTGGTCCTGCTGTAAGGCTTGCAGGATCTTAGTTTCCTGACAAGGGCTCTCATTGCTGAGAGCCCAGCGTCATAACCACTGGACCACCAGGGAATTCCCTCTTTTCACTTTTCAAAGTGCTTTTTCTAAAGTGCTTTTCTCTAATCTTCCCCACAACTTGCTATTTTCAGTCTCATTAAGTTGTGATCCATCTGGGATTCCATGGGACCATCATTTCCCACCCAGAGCCCCGAACCATCCCTCAGAGGCTTCTGTTGCTAGACTCTTCATTTGGAGCAAGGAGGCAGGCATGGTGCACTGCAGAGGTGTTTTGCAAGCAAAACAGAAAGGACATGTAGACAGGAAGGCTGACCAGCCCTGAACATGAATGTGGAAATCAATGCATGAGCAAACGGGTGGTTAATAACACATGTTTAGCCTGGAAGAGATGGAGGGAAGTGGGGAGGATTTGAATTCCCTTTCATTCCATCCGTTATGGAAGGCTTCCAGGAGGAGGTGATGTTTTGAGGAGTTCCTCTGTTCTCACCCCATCTCTGGTTAGAAAGGAAGGGCAGAAAATGTGTCCCAGTTTTGGCAGAGCAGGACTCTGAAGCCCAGAGAGGAAACATGACTTGTTCAAGGTCACACAGCACATCAGTGACAGAGCTGGGCTAAAAACAGGTCTGACTTCTGGTCAGGTGCTGTGGTCACCAGATTCCTCTACCTGCCCTGCAGATCTGCATGGAGGTGGGGCCCCATGGATCGGGGAAAGTGATTGGCCCAGTAGCCCCACAGTGATTTATTTTCTGAGCTGCCTCCCAACAATAGACAGAGGTGAGCAGGACACCCCCAAGGGACAAAAAATCCTCCCCTCCTTATCTTCCCACCAGCTGGCTTCACAGTTACAAACCGATTTCCATCACCTGCCTGGTGGACAGAGGCTGTTGTCAGCTGTCTTTTTTTTTTTTTTTCCAGCTGTGTCTTAAATCCAGAGACCAGGGTGTCAGGAGTCTTGGAATTGTGGCTTTCTCTGTCCGTGACTCATGCTAGGAGAGTTAAAAACGTCCTGAAGACATATGATCTTGACAAGGCACTCAATCTTAGGAGGTGCCCATTGTTAGACTATGCTTGAGAGGGTGAACCCTCTCTCAAGGGTGAGTATGTGTCTCCCCCTTAGTATGTGTCTATGTTCACATACATAGACAATGGCAAACTCAGAGTATATTTCTTGGACCAGGCACTTCTAAGCACCTTACACACATCACATATAAACTACCAGGGGTAGGTACAATTAATAACCCATTTACTAGCAAGGAAACTAAAGCCCAGAGAGGCTAGATAATTTGCCCAAGGTCACACAGCTGATAAGTAGTGGAGCTGAGATTCAAACCCAGGCAAAGTGGTTTCAAAAGGCAGGCTCATAATTACTCAGCTACGAAAGAAGCAAACTGTAACCGAGTGTCTTACTATGCACAGGAGTATTTTACGTGATCTTAGTACTATTATCTCATTTTACCAATGAGGAAACTGATGCTCAGTGGGTCCTTTGGTGAGGCAGCTCTAAGTATGAAAAGCAAGGACGTTTGAGATGATCCTTAGTGAAATCTGCTGGAAGGGACCTCAGGATCTTCACACCATTGCCACCTAGTGGCATTATACCTTAAATGCAGGCAGAATACCTAAACAAGCGCTGGGTGCCAAGTTCAACATCATTGAGAAAATATTTTCTGGAGTAAATGGTATTAAGACAAGATCATCTCTCGAGCAATTTTCTATAGCATGGGGTAGAAAA